TTTCCACAACAGACTTATAGAAGATCTGCAACATCTTGGTGCAGACACTGAATGATCTCAGCTTCCTTAAGAAGTAGAGTCTGCTCTGTCCTTTCTTGTAGATGTAGTCAGTGTTGCATTTCCAGTCTAGTCTGTTGTCCAGCTGAACGCCAAGATATTTGTAATTCTCCACCACCTCTCCCAGGATGTAGACAGGACTATGCTGCTTATTCTTGCTCCTCCTGAAGTCAACAATCATCTCTTTAATCTTGCTGGTATTTAAGATGAGGTGATTGTTACCACACCATTTCACAAACTGACTGACCAGTTCCCTGTACTCATCTTCTTGTCCATCACTGATACACCCCATAACTGCAGAGTCATCAGAGTACTTCTGCAGATGACAGGACTCAGAGTTGTACTGGAAGTCTGAGGTGTACAGTGTGAAGAGGAATGGTGAGAGTACAGTTCCTTGTGGTGCTCCAGTGCTGCTGACTACCATCTCAGACACACAACCTTTCAGTGTCACAAACTGTGGTCTGTTTGTTAGGTAGTCATAAATCCAAGTGGTTGTGGAAGGATCCACCTGGAAGTTATGGAGCCTCTCACATACTAAAGCAGGCTGAGTAGTATTGAAGGCCCTTGAGAAATCAAAGAACAAGACCCTCAAAGTGCTGCCTGACTGGTCCAGATGAGAGTGGGCTCTCTGAAGCAGGTAGATGAAAATCATCTAAAAATCACATAAATATATTTTCAGGTTTACTCCTCAAGAAATTCCTCAAGCCACATCAGGGTACCTTTGGCTAGCCCATGGAGGGCTGTGCGGCCCTCAAAAGACATGCCTCCCCACACCATTACTGACCCACCAAACTGGTCATACTGGAGGATGCTGCAGGCAGCAGAAGGTTCATGCTACCTCTAGGGCTGAGAGCACTGACAAAAGTGATCAAAACATCAGCCAGAAAGGACAAAAACAGTGACATGGTCTGTGGTCACCACCTGCAGAACCACTACTTTATAGGGGTTGTCCTGCTAACTGCCTCTCATTTCCACCTGGTGACTGTTCCATCTGCACAACAGCAGGTGAAACTGATTCACAATCAGTGTTGCTTCCTACCTGGACAGGTTGATTTCACAGAAGTGTGACTGACTTGGAGTTACACTGTGGTGTTGAGGTGTTCCCTTTATTTTTTTGAGCAGTGTATTATTTATTGCTGACTTAATGTTGTGGTTGAAGCTGTCAGATCTACACCACTGATTAAATCTAAATGTTCAGAAGATGTTTGTCCTTCAAAAGAAGTCTAACAGTGGTCACCTCCTTTGACAGACTATTATTCAATCTCAAAACTGCTCTGACAGATNAGATTGTGAAACCTTCACCACATACAGTCTGCATGTGCCTTTTGTCATTCACAAAGTCCACTGAGAAAATATTCCCTGTAGCAAGTTGTGATGCAGGTTCACAGTTTATCAGCCTGAGATGAAAATACAAACAACAGCTTTTGTAACGGAGCATCATCCACCTCCAGCCTGTGGATTCATAATGTACCCAGACAGCAAAAACTGTCAAATGCAAAATAGAGCAATATGACATAATATTCTGACAGCTGGGGTCATTTTTGATTATCAAAATACATTTTGTTGCCCTAATTGTACAAGAGATGATGTTTATTTGTTTTGCTTTCTAATGGTCAGTGAAGGAGATTTACATGAGTGATATATGAAAACGATAAAAACTGTGTTTTGCCAACAGATGTTATGCTGTGATAAAAAACTAATTAATTCCTAAAAGCTCCAGTCTGGCAGCTGGCTGCCAGTGTAGGTCAGTGTTGTTTATAAAGAATGGAGGACGTCTCATTTTAGGGAAAAAACAACGACTTTGGCCGGTTGTTGGTTATGGTCTGTATTACAGTGTTTGGAAAGAGGTGCCATTTGATTCTCTTTGGAGTTATTGATGCCAGAAGATAGAATCTTTGAACATCTTTCCAACTTTACTGAACTCTGGAAGAGACACTGGCGAAAAGAATATAACATGTTAGAATGAGATAATAAGTCGATATCTCAAGTTAATGACGCGTTGGAATGAGGTCATTTAACTCGTGGCCACACATTATTATTTCTTTTCCTTTGTGGCCACTCAGGGGTTCCGTAGTTATGTTATTTCAAATTACACATGTAAATTAATCTAAATTGTAAATTTAGAAATATATGAAAATATATCTTAAACAAAAAGGAAAAGTAAAACAACATATTTTAATTAGTAGTATAAAATAAACCAATTACAGAAAGGAAACTAAATATTCAACCATGATAAATACTAATAATGTAAAACTCACTCTACTAGTTAGTTTTTCGAATTAAAATAATTTCAAAGAGCAAGCAGGCAAAGCTAAAATACACTAAAACATAACAAAAAAATTAAGACTAAAATATTGTAATCAAAAGAAGTATAAGCAGAAACAGCTTAAAAAAAAAAAAAAAAAGCAAAGTTAAAATGAAGCTTTAAAACGAGAGAAAAGTTGTGACAGTTGCTGAAAACATTTCCTCAAATCAAAGCACATTTTTGCCAGAACAGAAAACTAACAGAGTACCTTCGCTGTCCAAATGACTCCCAGTCAGTTTGTTTCACGGCAGGTAACCAGCAGCTGATGGACTGTGAGCCTGAATGTTTGTGTAGGTTGTTATATTCACAGTGGATTGAAGATGATGTGAACAGGAAACGTTACAGGGATGTTCCCACGATACTGTGTCTGCAGCACAACTGAAGTTCGTTCAGCTCATGAAGCAGACCCATAGCTTCTAATACACACCGGTTCCACTGCTTCCTCACTTGTCATTTATGGCAGCGAGGAGAGATCTCTGTTGAGATAGCCTGGGTGTAGCCCTTTCCTTTAGTCATTTCCTGTTTTTCAGAACTTCCCCTGCACTGTTGTACTATTGTAAGGCTCATTCTAGGTCAACATCATTACGGCCCAGTCTCCAGAGTTCTACACTACGAAGTCAAATTAGTGGGTCAGCAGGTA